GTATCTTTTTTCAAAGGTGACATTTGATCTTTTGGGTAGATGCTTTCTCTTGACATACAGTGTATACCTCAGAATCCCTCAAGAAACCAGTGTATTCTCAAGCTCACCAGAATTTAGTGTCCTTCGCATGCCTGAAACATTAATGGGTGAACTCTTCAGGGAACAAATACAGGCAGTACATGAGAAATTTGTTAGTGTCCAAAGCTGGCCCTACAGGTGATTATTCTATTTTATTTATTTTTTTTATTTCAGAAATATTTAAGGGGTACAAATAGTTTTTGTTACATGGAAGTGCTTTTTGATAATTCTTAAGTCAGGGTATTAAGCATACATCATCCCAATAGTTTGATTCTTTTTATTTAAAAAAACTTTTAAAATTTTATTTAGTACTTCTCAGTACCATTATTTTAAATTTACGATCTAGACACTATTTAATAAGAACTTATGTTATGCCAGACACTGGTGCCAACAACTTCACAAACATTTATATCTTCAAAAAAACAAGATCAATGTATTTCACAAATGAAGAAACCTAAACCTTGGAAGGAGAGTTGGACTGTTTGCCCCAAGGTCCATGGTAAGCAGCGTTTCAAAACCCGGTCTGGCAGGGGATTCCAAAAGCCAGGGCTCTTTTGAACTTACCTGTTTATACTCTCAGAAAGAAACCAACTCCTATGCCATAGATATAGAGCTTCGAGGGGATTGGGGAAAAACCCATGTATTACCATGGCACATCAAATACCTTTTCAGCACAATACAGGAGTGAGCTCCCCTGCATGGGCAAAGTTTCCTATTGCTGGCTGGCTGGCAGGCAAGATAACAAGGAGAGGAGCATTCTTCTTAGATATATTTCAGGGAGGCTCCGGTTCAATTTGAATACCATCTAATCCTTCCCTCTACCAGTGATGAATCCGTGACTAAAGGCCCTCTAGGGTAGCTTTATTTTAAGACTGTAGATGTTTTTGGAGAACTAGAACACCCTGGGCCTCATCCCGAAGCAAAAATAGTAAATCAACTCAAGACTTCAATCTGTCTTGACTGTTTTTATCAGCACGACATTTGAACAAGATGAACTTGACACGTTGTGATTTACTTTTCATCCCTGGGGGCCTCATGTCTTTCTACCAGTCCAGCTGGCCTCTCCCCTGCTTCTCTACATAATCTATTTAGCCGTGTGGGATGAATTATAGCATATTCCCTCTGAACAATCCACACCACCTTATCAATTACTCTAGGAAGAACATCCACTTCATTGAAAGAATGAAAAAAAAAAAAAAAACCTGTATATTGGTATTCATTTCTTTATTTATAAAGCAAGAGCAAGTACAACAATATCTAATAATTGCTGAGGAATAATAGTGCTATGTTACCCTTATGATTACTGATTATACAGTGATTTCAAGATAATTATGTCAGTATATATAAGGACATTTGGCCACTTTCCTTTTTCCTTCTCAAATATCCTTAAAAAAAAAAAACAAATGGCTTACAATCCATATCTAAGGGTAGGGAATGTTCATGTAAGGAACACAATTAACAATTGGAAAGGGAAATTAAGATGTTCATATGTACCATTATTTATAATTCAAAAAGTTAAAAATTGGAAAAATGTTTTAGGGCTATAATGGACATGACTAAATATTAATGGTAACTATTCACCCAACAAAATACTGTTGGCAATCCGTCGAATGTCTTATAGCAGCACAAATTCATAATTGCAAGGCTGTGGAAACAGCCCAAGTGTCCGTCAATCTAAGAA